CATGATGCAGAGTTGGACTAAACCATTGTATCTCACGGTGAAATAATGACTTGCTGCCTAAATCAAATGACAAAGGCAAACATTTTCACCATTTTGCATACCTAGATTATAATATCTACTATATATGCAACTAATGTTTTCAAGATTTATTATAATGATTATATGTCTATGCCAGTTAATCGATACCAATTAAATTAGTTTTAATTTAGCTCCCCCAAACAGTTACGAAGTGGTCTCTCCTTCCAGAATGTACTATATGTGAAGTGGTGACGGGTGACGGTAGTGGTTAGAATAAATGTTTAGATATTGAGCAAAGCATTATAAGCATAACATAAATATGAAATTGATGTATAGCAGTACTTTTATTAATCATTTATAAGTAATAATTTTGCCAAGATTATATTCATCTCAGTGATATTATATGTAGATTTATCCCCCCCCCCCCCGAATTCTGTACATTGAAATCGCCTGGCTTTGAAAACAACGCCGCCATATTTAAACCGTTAAATACTTTGTCGACAAAATTTGGGCAATCGTCCTGGGTAATTTTCCGCAGCACGTCCGTCGTTTACCGCCCAAAAATGTCAGACGAGTCTTCGGAATTCACTGAAGACGACATCCGTCGCCAGCTGGCTGCCCTTGGTTACCACGACGTCCCCGATTATCGCCTGAAACAGTTTGCTAGAGACCTTCGGGAGTTGGTGCAGCACGACCGGTCAAAGGCGAGCTCACAGGACCAGAGCTTCGCGTCGTCAACTTCCCGTGTGGACTCCTCTGTCTCCGCCCAGCCAGCCTTCCTTCTACGACAGCCAACACGGGCCAATCCTTCACATCTATATGGACCAGATAGGTGAGGATATCCTATAAAAATCTGAATACCCACTTTACTCCGCCCTACTTTTTCAACTAGAGAAGTTTGATACTGCATGTGCATACCACAATGTTATGAAAATATAAACCACTGTCTGATATAAGAAAAATTGAAAACTTCTGTTTACCTCTGCAGACATGACCCAGTAGAGCAACCAGGTTACGGTAAGGAGAACCAGACAACCAGGAACTTTCCTGTTGGACATGACAGAGACACTGGTTTCTCCAGAGAGCAGACTACACCAAAATCATACTACAACAGACCGACGACTGCACCGGCCAGACCTGCAGGCTACACACAGGCCAGCTCTGCAAATGACAGCAGGAATGAAAGCATTGCCAGGGTGCCCAAGAGGAAGGTTCTGAGAAAGATCAATGGCGAATCCCGCGTGTTCGACGAGTCCCTCACGACGGAGAGCGAGGCAGATGACATGAGTGAACTTGGGGAGCGTCTTGCTGGCCTTCCGATCAATGAGGAAGATTCCTACCTGTCTGAGGATGATGTTTCACAGTACAGACGGCAAAGGCCACACTCGGCAGGTTTGTGGCCCCACAGACCAGCAGGGGACGAGGAAAGCGAATACGCACCACACCTCCCGCGATCATTCATCCGCCCCACGGTCCGGCTCCCACAGAACAGAAAGAGCGTGAAGACAGACCCTGTGAACAGGTTCCATTTCTACAACCAGCAGTGGGCGGCACAGAAGGCTCCGGAGGAGAAGAAGCACAAGGACCTGAGGTGGAACATCCGTGAACTCATGATGCAGAAGGACGAGGTGGTGCAGAAGCCACAGCGTGTCTACGTGCCAAACAGCTACGTGGTGCCGACCAACAAGAAGAGACAAGCTCTGAGATGGGAGGTCAGGCACGACATCGCCAGGGGTGTTCTACCACAGTACTAATTATGGAACTTGCAAAAAACATAATGGAAAGATTCACAGACATGAAAGAAAATATGTAAATCTATGAGTATGAGTATGATGGATGTTCTTTAGCTTCCAGCTCACCGGTTATCTACCTTCAAATCCTTCATTCTGTAAAATCCAAAGGCTTTTAATTTAGACATACATTGTAATTGGAAAGGATCGCTTCACTTGTGGAAAGAGTTGTGGTGTAAGACCCAAGGATACTCTGATTGAACCCGTATCATGCTGATCTTGACAAAGCACTCAGAGATGGTCACTTTGACTCTGAAAACAGTTAAATCTCTTTATTATGCTTTCTCAAACAACATTTTGAAATTTTTTGTACATCCAGTATAGTATCAAGCTAGTTGAAATACAAAGCTTCTAGTATGTGTCAATGCAATTTGAAAAATAATTTGTCAGACTTTAATACCACTAGACAATCTGCCTTTTTATAGGTTGACATTAGCATTGTGCATTGCTATTATTGTGTTTGATGAATTGTACAATAAAGTGTCACAATGTCCAGGCATTGATGAATCATTTGTGTAATAGATTAAAGCGTTGCTGTTTTTAGACCTGTTGGTTTTATTGACTACTCATCTCATTTTATCCCATGACATAAGATGAAGATGGTAGGATGGTATCCAGCCTTGTTCCACATCCTAACAGTCACTAACCAAGATGTCCGGACCTCTAGGACTTGGCAAAGGTGATGAGTCTGATGACTTGGAGAGATACCAAGATAGAAAGGTGGTATACAATACAGACTGCCACAAGACTGAAAGAGACTGGTTAGAACTGTTCAACATGTTATAACTTCTTCCAAACGGCCCCTCATCTGTGCAGCAGTGACATCTAGCAAGAGAGATATGAACAGCAAGTGATAAGCTGCTACTCTCCATGTTGATAGATAGCATCTTTGGCTTTCGTTACTGCTGTAACTTACTATGTCCTAAACACTGTAGAAAAGGATGTGGATATATTCTGGACTCCATCATGTTCAACTGTTCACCATAACCGTCATTTATACAATACTACATTTGTAGAATGAAGATCATGAGTCACTTTGAAAGAGGAGATGGTTAACCTACTGTCATATGTATATGGCATGTATACAAACTTAACAAGAATGAGGTAGTATGCTTGACATACTGTCACCTGGCATGGTTTGAGACAATGGTGGCTCCAGGCGGTTTCAAGAATTGGTAAGTCCTGTACATAGTAACAGACTGATATAAATATTAGACTGAAAAGCTTACATTTTCTCTTGGCAATCTGGACATCCAGCTCCACCTTTCCCAAAGTGCATGATGGCACAAATACAGACATTGGGAAGTAAAGATGAGTTTCTTCCACAAAAAACACAACGACTTCAGACAAGTTAAATCTTGGTCATCCTACTCATGTCGAGCCCTGCACAGTGGAAGTCAAATATGATGTGTCCTGTGGCCTCTATACACATTCACATACATTTTCCTCTCAGATTCAATCAGTAGCATTTCAAAAGTTTAAAAGTAGACCACTTGAAGACGAACATAATAGGTTATCTATCAACAGTTACACCTTGACTACTTAATATACCCTGTTTTCCCGTTAGTATTCTTCACAGAAGTTATCTCATTGTGTGATAGACTGTTGAACCATGTCGTCCATCACGATGTCCGCTACACAGCGTTGGCAGTCTTTCCTGGTACATTGTCCATCTGTATCTGGTTCACCTGGGACCCTTCTTGGACTTCTGGGTTCTGTGGTCGGTCCTGGAGAATAAGGGATGGAAACTTCAGCTGTAGTAAATTATAAATTCTTCACGACTATATCCTACCAGTCAAGAAAGACAGATACAAACCCCTTGAT